AGGAGACACGAACAAGGTCGTAACAATAACAAGGAGGCAATAGGCTGACCACTACCATCTAACGCCTCGGCGAACCTGGTGGACACTTCTATTTCGCCGTAGCTTAGCACTCAACTCTCATCTACCGCTCAATGAAGCAGGGGTCAACAGGACGACCACATCCCGGAAATCACCCTCGAATGACGTACGAAAGCAAGTGAGGTTATCTGGTAGTAATTTTATTTACTCACATCCTACCAACCATTTCCCAAAAGTCACAGGTAGAGGTCGACATGCAATTCCTTATGCGGACTGGGCTAGTTCGGCACATGTCCTCACTGTAACAAAGCTGGAACCAATATTGGAGTTCAGCAGTCGTCTGGGATGATTTGGCGGCTTACGTAGGGACAAACGGGTGACATCCTGGTGGGGGAGAGGGTTATAAACAGGGACGCGAAATGTGTTTAAAAATTATGCAGAACAGCAAAAATTTCATCGCCATCTCCGTGTCTCCCTACAGACCGCCATACAGACGATGTGCTCGGCGGAATCACGGCTTTATTCATCTGGGCTTTCGAATTCTTAAGTCCACCCTCAGAGATAAAAGCGGTGACAAGGCAAGCAACAGCTATAGGGGAGTAGGGGCCAATCAAATATCAGTAAAACCAGTCCGAAGGTGGTCGATAAATCAATTGACTGAGCTCTCATCAGCGGCCCACGCTTCAGTCGATTCCCGGCTCGTCTTGCTTTTTGGTGTTAGCAATTACATTCTTGGCTACGCAGTTAAACTCACAACCCGTAGCATAGGTATGGGAAATCACTTACGATAACACATCACCCCGTTTTGCAGCCAGTTTATGTGCGTGTATGGGCGATCCGAACATGCATCCAGTCCATCTTTTGTAGTTAGAAGGACACTCAAGGCTCGGACTGCGACACACTACATCTGTGGCCACGGATCGTCGCGCGTGGAGAAGCATCGTACGAGACATAATTGTGGCCGGCTAGATCAGTTATGATCGCAGCCGTAACAAGTACAAGTAAGAAAGTACACTACATCTGACTACTCACGAGGATTCCGGCGAGCGGACACCCTTCATCCTTATTCCCACATACACTTGGAATGCGAACATTCGCCTCAATTCGCGACGCTGCTTTCTCTCTTTCTCTCTAGCAACGCGGAATGTTCGTTTACTTATGAACAGGCCTATGGACAATCAACCGGAAAGGGGAGCAACTCTAGTCACCTGCGAACTTTCTCACTATAAATTGGACATCTTGCCTCTCGGTAAGACCCCTTTTTCGAGTGGGTGTTCAGTGCACTTTATGAAGAGAGGGCCGAAAGGCGGGGCTGCAAGACGCTAAATTGGCTTTTGTCATGCAGAATGAGGTCGTCGGTCGGCTGTCCTACGTTCCGCAAGAATAAAACGATCGTATTGTGACTCCTGGACTGTAACTCCACGGGAAATGTTCACCATCATTGTCAGCGCCTACGCTCTTCTAACGAAAAGTGCCAATATGAAGGTCGAACCCTACGGAAGGATATAATTCCTCATGGTGGGCGTGTCAAAGATAGACAATTTGATTGTTTTCAGTGGTCTCAACGTTCGCATGAACAGAGATCACGCCAGCTGGGAGTTTTCGATCAGAACGAAGTCAGCAGCTGCGACAGCAGTGGCCCACCGGTCGAGGTATGCGCAAAACACAACCGCCTTACCTAAATTTGCCACCGTCTACACCCGAGGAAGGCAACATGAATGTGCCCCCTACTCGAGTAACTGCAACCGCTGGTCAAGAGACGTGATCAACGCGATGCGCTACGAACGAAGGCTATGGGTGGCGAGGAATGCTCCACTGATCATCGTTTTGCTGTCTCAAAGATGAGACCACAGCTGAATCCGTGCGAAGAACAGCAAGGTAAGATAATACCAGAACATAAAAAGCTACTACTGGAACCTGATGGAAGAAACTGCGTGTTGTCGTCTACACTGCCGCTCTGAAAGCCCTAGGTGGCAAGCGCCGACGACATTACTACTGGTTCAACAACAATAAGAGATTCTGCGTCCGCTATCAAATAAAAAACCTCCTACTCGCAACTCATGCCAACGAGGGGATTAATGACAATCCACATATTTGCTGTAGCGAAGCGTGCTGCAGTCGAGGTTGAACGGAAGTAAAAATGAGTGGACAACTCGTAAACATACGCGGACCGTGACAAGATAGAGAATTTACTCTTGACAGTCTACAGTCCTCAATGTCAATTAAACTGATAATATTTACCTGAAACGGATCAAACCTATTGTCGGGGAAACTGCAATTCGTGTGGCGTTGAGCCGAGCACTTCAATCCCTCGGCCATGAGCTGGGAAATGCCAGCAAGCAATTTTGTCAAGTAGACACCAATGCAGACCTGGAGGATCCGCCCTGACTGTGGGAGACCATTAAAACATCAAATGCTGAAATCCAGATGCTCGGAACGATTCACGCAAGCAGTGGGACAACTCCACGACGCTATGGCGGCGCGCGTAACTGACAATTGTGGCGTAGCAAATTGAATGAAAGTGATTATTCCCTTACTCTCACCCTCTTCAGTCGCATGCTCTCAACCACGTTGACAGATGCCTGCCGTGAAGAGCAGTGTAGAATCAATAGCAACAAGCCAAATGAGGGCCAAATACTCAACCTCCGACGTATGCAGGCAAAAAGGAAATTATCGCAGACCAGTGTTCACGATCAAGGACGACTGCGCGCTCATATCTCGGACTGACTATTAACGGAGAGAAGAAAGTAGACATGAACCAACCGACGCCAACTACAACAAGCTCATGATGGGTGTCAACGTAACTCACCTCACAGCAATGCACAAATTCACTTATTTGGGGGAGGAGGAGGGACAAAATTGCAAGAAATATTAAAATTGCCCTCAAACCGGCCAGACTTGTGACAGACTACAATAGTCTTTTTGGGAACGTTGAAGAATTTTCTACAACACTATTCTGTGGCGAGTTGGTTGGTGGTGCTAGCAGACAATGCGCACCAAGGCGACAACAAAAGGAAACACTGATCTTTCTCCAAAATTCGAAAATGAAGCCTTGTGCCTGCGACGGCCCCGCAACGCAGTCGATTGAATATCAAAGCAGCATGATGGGACTAAAAAAACTAAACCGCGGAGAATTAACGACTTGTGAAGCGAGCTTTTGGCATTTTGATTATACGGTGAACGGACATTTCTGATGCGGATTGACCTGCTTGGGTGTTACCGAGCACCTTAAATTACAAAAACAACACCACTGTCTCTCTTACGCTCCCTCACTCTGGCGCAATTTAATCTATTAGTCGTGGTTTCGAGAAATGGTAATTGATGTGGTAACTCCTTCCTGCTCACGATTTAAGCTCAGGCTGCAATTGCTGCAACAGCCGTATCAATTACTTCTTGATCCTTCGATTGGGTGAACGTTTAATAGGAATTCATGGAGTTAAAATCATGCATTTATAAACCTAGGAATAAGGTTACTCGGTTATAGCATTGTGTACGATGCGGCCTGTAGCTAACTCAGAAGCCCGCCCTTAAAAGTGCTGAAAGAAATTACAAACAGGCATGAGAGAATTAAAGCCTTTTGGTAAATCACATCCATAACACGAATATCCAAGGAAAATTCGGCGGCCGACTAACTCGCCCCCCTCTATTATTATGGCGGTACAGCCTTCCTGTAAGGTCAGTGGAGGAAGTTGTCCTCTCGCTTACTAGATGACTTGCTGCAGTTCGTGTTTTAAAGTATACCTCTTGAGAATACGCGAGATATTCCTCAAAAAATCTCAAATAAAAAATCAACAATTTGGTCGATAAGCCATGAATTTTCTGCTTTTGTGTGATAACACAGAGGAGTTCTGCTGAAGTACCCATTGTTTACATAAGTCCTTATACGTATATACAAGGAAAGTAATCATAAATCGTAGCTTCATTTTCCGCGAACATTAGCCCAATAACTACCTCATACCCTTAGACTTTGCATTGTGAGCTTAGTGGGCATGTCGTACACATTGCATTCTTTCGAAATTAAGCCGAATCATCTGGGTCATCCGGCTGACACTGTTTACTTACTGTCCAGGCGAGACTAAAGGTTTTTTGTGGAATAAATGTAGGTTTTCACCCAAGTCAGAGGATACACGTGGGAGGGTACAGTCATATGGTCTCGAGAAAAATGCTAATTCTTTGGAAAACGCTGGAAAATTTGTCTAGAAACTATGGAAAATGAGAAGTGGGTGGCAAGTTCTGGGTTCTGCCTGCACTGTTCGCTTAACGAGTATTTAGTTCGGCATCAAGACTAGTTACGAAACGATAGAGCAAAACGCTGTCGCTTCCGAGGAAATATTCGGTTCTCACGTATTGTACAATGGATAAAGGTGTTTTACAATAATCCTCACAGCATGCTTTCGCAATGTATGTATCTTATGCTACCCAAGTGCTCGTTGTCGCATACACTTTTAAACATGGGTGTTGGTGTCCAAATGTCCAAAAGTCACAGGAAAAAGCATTGCAATCTTTAATGTGTCGTTGTAGTATTATAAATATACTGTTATTTTTCACTCCAGAAATAGTATATTGGATGGGAAAGAAGATATGTGGTTCTAATCTAACGACAAGGGGTCTTGTTGTGTACACGTCTTGAAGTCCGAGGTGCAAACCGCAACAGCGAATTCACCGAGAGGGAATATTACAGTTAAAAATGTGCTTTGATATCCCTTTATCTGTAACTAAAACCTTTACCGGAAGTTACACAAATGAAACACCAATATAAGGCTAAGCACGTCCTTAGACGTTATCATTTAGATTAAAAGTGAACTTCATAAAACAAGGTAGGTTACAATTCTCTAATTCCGCTACGTTTTTGCACCCTCTGGATTTCGTTAAATAATGAGAAAAACGTCATCTTCCAAAGGAATGACATCGAACAACCTCTCAAAGTAGAAATTGCAAAATCAATATACAACGAAAAATGATGGATGAGATTAAAGTGGTTACTAACCATAAGAACGTGGCGGAGGTGGGTACCGATCGCCATGAGGTAATTCACCTTCACTGGAGAACTTAAATTGACGGCGTGCGTAGTTGACGCGGAAGCGGCGGTTATCAAACATAGTTCTGTCCAACTATAAGAAGCATTAGAAGTCGTATTTCGAGCACCTACTTGAAGGGCTTTTTCTGCTTCCTCTGGAGAACTGAGAGTTACAAACGCGTAGCTGTAAGAAAAAGGAGCTTGACTTGAATTGAGTCAGTTATAAAAATACATGTTAGTATTCATAAGAAATGTGAGTGAGATGTCTTGCAATCTTGCGGAATATTAACAGGGGTTAAAGCTCGAAGGTTCAAAGGCGCATTCTGGATAGGGATATCAGTAAAATTAAAAGGACGAGTAACGACGCTTATTCAGAAAAGTAAACAAATTATAAGGATGACGTAGTGAAACCGAGTTAGCATAATGTCAGTTAAAAGCGGGAATTCACAGAAATCATAAGCAGCAGGACCAAAACGTGGTGGGGTCGAAATCGATTAAATAAGCAAGCGAAGCTCGGACGGAGAGAAAGACGGATATAATAAGCTAAGACTGGGGTTACTTCAATGCTTATGTACTGGTCGCACGCACGTGAAAATACGGAAAAATCATAAGCCCATATCGCTACAGTGTGTTTGTATAGGCCTGATCTAACGGACCAACAGTAAGAAAGTGAGCTATACAAATTCTGATCATTCCAGAAGCAGCATACTGTCAAAGGCAAATTTAAAACTTTACAATTGATGGTAGACTGATAGCTCTGAAAACAGACGTTCAGTAGAGTAAAGTGATTATTTTTGATGATGACTCGTGCCTGCAAGCCACTTGACCGCAGAGAAACCACTTGATATGCGAAAAACAGATGTTACTATATTGAGTATAATCAGATTACCTTTTCCGTTCGTCCAGCCTAATACGTTGAATGGGTCCATAGGGCTCTAATATTTGCCGAATAATGGATTCTGATATGTCAGGACAGCTTATGTATATCGTTGAGCCACCTCGCCTGCGATTATAGGAATCTTCTTTAAAAGACGATTGATTGGAGAAAAAAGAGGACTCTTGAGCGTGACTACTAGAGGATTTGTTCGCTGTTAGCGTTTCACTAGTCTGTTCGTCGAGGTTCAAAGGCGAACGACTGAACTTTCGGCCGCGGTTAACATCAGTTGAGTTTATAGTTTCATTTGAACAAGGCTCTGACGGCAACTTGGTTGGAGGCTGCGAAGAGGCCGGCTGCATCCTTTCACCATAGACGAAGTTTTCGTACAAATTAATTTTTTTGCTTTTTGGTTGACCTGGATGCATGCGTTCATGAAGTCGCAAAGATACCTGACGTGTCTTCTACATCGCCAGACAAAAGGTCCGACTCCCTGGCTTTCCTCTTAAAGACATGCTTTTCAGTAGCGTTTCCAAAAGAAATGGCACCAGACTTTAACAGTTTCATAGCCTCTTCCTTGGCCTTCTCCGTATTTTTAACCTCTAAGAAAATTTACATTAAAAAATGGCATACTTTTGTTTTTTTCTTCCTTCACACGCTGATTGCTCGCTTCTTGGTTTAAGTCGTTGAGGCATACCCTCTACCAATTAAAAAGGCCGACTGTATTTACCATTTGCTTCAACATCTTCAGCTCATTCCGCAAGTCGTATTCTACTTCTGTTAGTTTATTATCTAACGGGAGCACGTCTGATGAGCCATGATAAGGGTTAATTAAATGAACATACATGAACGAAGAGCTTCCTCTACGTCCGCGCTGAAAAGCAGAACGGAATGCATATTAAAATCACATTACTTCGAATAATCTTGCAAGTCTCCGGGCAAACTATTCCCATCGCGCATTTTCGATCATGTAATGCTCCTGTTGGGCACGGTTGTTGGGTAGCTGGTATACACTGCGTAA